GAGCGTTCTGACCATCCGTGGCGACGAGGGAAGGATAGCGGCACTGGTATCTCAAGGCACTTGAGCGGTACAGTCGGGGCCTTGACCTAAGGAACCCAAAATAAGGAACGAGGCCCCTTTTTTCCATAAGTTGAACTTCGATTTCCTATCGAAAACATCAGGGAAACCTGAGGCAAGCTGCGAAACACTTAAGGAGCGCGGAGCCCCTCCCCAACGAAAAAGGGTTCCTTCTTCAGGGCCCCGACTGTGAGGCGCTTGAGCGGTATGTCTCTGTTTTAGCCCCAGGAGCTCCGCAATCTCGTGCGGGCGTAAAACGTTGGAATGCGCTGCTGGTAGCTCTCGTTTGCGTCGTCCGCGGCGAGGGACCCCCCTCCGATGACAACGTGGGCGGAGATCATGTCCAACTCCGCAAGCTCTGGCCCATACCACACTTTGGAGGCACCGCAGAGCTTCTCCTGCTTGTCCCCGCAGAAGCGATAGTAGCCGCCGAATAATATCTTCTTGTGAAAGTGCTCGTCGAGCGCGGTCTCTGTCGGATACATGTAGAGGGCTCCGTCCGCCATATGGGCGTACGCCTCCTTGCTCGGAGGAGCGAGCATCTCCTTGCCATAGAAGTCGCACTGCACTGCCAACACCGTCTTGCCGTACCGCTCGTGGAGTAGACGGACCGCGTGCGCGATGGTCTTAACGTCTTTCAGGTAGGGGCTGCCACCGTACAAGACCAGCCAATCCTCGCTGGCACGGCTTGGGTTATGTCGGGCCTGTCCCCCTCTACAGGGGGCTTTTCGACGATTCGTTTTTTTTATAAAAAAAAGAAATAACAAACACAAATACCCCCAAAAGGTCAACAAATACTCAGAAAATATTCCCCAGACCATGTTTGGACGATGTTTTGACTATTTTTGGATATTGTGTATTTTTCGTCGAAAATCCCCCTGTAGGGGGACAAGCCCGACTTAAGGCTTGGGGGTTGCGCGCGAGAGCGGGGCTCAGAGTATACAGTAAGCCGTCTTGTCGGCCAAGGAGCTCGGTGTGCAATGAAGCAAACCAACTTCCCAACACGTGGGGCGCTGGAGCGCCTGGAGCCCAGCTGTCAAATTACTCGCGATACAGTCGGGGCGTTGACCTAAGGAACCCTAAATAAGGAACAAGGCCCCTATTTCCATAAGTGAAACTGCGATTTACCATTGGAAACCTAAGGAAAACCCAAGGCAAACTTTAAAACAATCAAGGAACACCGAGCCCCTCCCCAACGAACAGGGTTCCTTCTTCAGCGCCCCGACTGTAACGCCCATGACCAGCCCCGCCCACCCCCTCGCCCCCCCCCGGTCACATCCGATTCGCGCCGGCGCCGTATGGGAACTGGCCATTCCCCCTGCTCCCCTGCCCCCGCTTCGCCCCTGTCACTCCCTGTCGTTGTCGCCACGGGATACAAACATGGTCTCACATACACCGAGTTCCTTCTCCGAACTCCTTGGCACCTTGGCCGACCAGACGCAGGCGAGCCCAGAATCGAGTCGACCAGTCGGATCGGCGATCGAAATGAATCGGATCGGCAGAAATCGGGAGCCGAGTCGGAAGAAGTCGAATGGGCGGAAATCGGCAGTTCAGTAGGCCTACTTTGAGAAATCTGATCCCAAATCGGAGTGCGAAGCCGGATCGAATCGGAATCGGAAGCCATCGGAGTCGAAGGAATCGAAGCGAGCCCTGCCAGACGTGGTGTATACATCGAGCCCCTCCGAGCACAGGCAGCCCCCAGAGGTGACCCCGGCCGACACCAGCGGGCCCCCCGGAGGTCGAGGGGCGACAATCGAGGGGACAGGCTCAGGGCGAGAAGCATCGAGCTCGAGTCGGCGATGCTAGGGGGAAAACAAACCTACCTCGCTTTTGACCACCCTCGCTTCCAAGAGATACCAAACGATGCCAAACTACGGCCTGTACTGGTCAGGCCGCTTGACGAGGAGGCGCGTGGTATGGCGTGGTTTTGCCTGGAAGCGAAAGCGGGGTGGGTAATTCAGGCTCTGAGATGCGTGTGTGACAGATCGGCGATACGGTGGAGGCCAGTCCGCAACAAACCTCCCACAAAGAAACCCGACCCTGGGACCCCGGGACGGCCACTGAGGTTTGGCGTGGGAACGTCACGCTTCCCAGAGCAAAGCCCTCGACACCCAGGAAACCCAGGGCACCCTGGAGTTAAGTCGGGCCTGTCCCCCGACAGAGTGATTTTCTACGAAGAATAAAAAAGTACCCCCAAAAAAACAAAAATAAATTAAAAAATACACCAACAATATCCACACATAGTTTGGAGACTATGTTTTGAATATTTTCGCGACCTTGTGGGGGCATGTTGGGGGTATGTTATATTTTTCGTCGAAATCCCCCTGTAAGGGGGACAGGCCCGAGATAACCCTGGAGGCCAGCCGGGTGTTCCTTGGCATGGGTCTCCACGGCAGGCCCCCGACAGCAAGACCGCACGCTATCCTGGGCGGGGTGGGCCCTCGCGAGTGGGGGCCGCTGCGCCCCTCCTTCGCCTCTCCACGCTCGCCGCTGCACCCTTGCTTTCGGGGAGGAGGAGGAGGAGGAGGAGCAGGAGGAGGAGTAGGAGGATGAGGAGGGGGGAGGAGGAGGAGGACAGAGAGGAGGAGAAAGAGGAGGGGGAGGAGGAGGAAAGAGGACGGGCATCGGGTCATACCTCGGCTTTCCGGCGGCCGTTCAAGTAAACATCTGGCCACCCCTGGAACGCCCTGGATGCGGCGCAGCTGCCGGAAGGCAGCTCGAGGCCAGAGAGCCGTCGAGAACCGACGAGAACGCCCGGGCACATCAAGGTTCAAACCGCTTGGCGGCCCCCCCCCCTACAGCCGGACTTGATTGGAGAGAGGACACGCGAGAGGACACGCCAGAGCCTTCCGAGGGCCACGTTGCCACAGAAATGCGGGAGGCATGGGTCGCAAGACACAGGACACGAGGGTAGCCTTGATCTGGCAGGGTCCGCCTGGGAGGAGGAGGAGGAGGAGGAGGAGGAGGAGGAGGAGAAGGAGGAGGAGAAGGAGAAGGAGGAGGAGGGGGAGGAGGAGGAGGAGGAGGAGGGGGAGGAGGAGGAGGAGAAGGAGGAGGAGGAGGAGGAGGCGGGGGAGGGGGAGGACGAGGGGGAGGAGGAAAAGGAGGAGGAGGAGGAGGAGGTGGAGGGGGAGGGGAATGGGGAGGAGGAGGGGGATGAGGAGGAAGAGGAGGAGGGGGCGACTGGGGGTCGATGCCCCCTCCCCTGAGCCCGCTGCCACCCGCCAGCTCTGCCCCTGAACCACCCGCGGGGGGGGGGCCCTCTCCGTATACCTCCGGGTACTTCGGCTAGGCGTAAGAGTGACCCTGGGTAAGAGTGACCTTTGGTGCACAGCTTTTGGGGGCGCGAGGGAGCCAAACCCAAGGGCGCGGGCCGCTTATACCGCATCGCGCTCGGCGATCGGGGGAAGCCCGATGAGCCCGCACCAAAGGTCTCCAGCGAAAGGTCACTCTTACGTCTAGTCGAGTACTGCCCGGCGGCCAGCTCCCCGTGCCCTGGCCGGTCCTCGTCGTAGGCATCGTCCAGGTCGCTGACGATCTGCTTGACTATCTCCTCGACCTCGGCCAGGGATCAGCCAGCGTCGAATCGGCAGGTCGGGTCGATTCGAGACGTGCGTCGGATCGGGCCGCACGGGCACGAGGTCGGGCCATCGGATCGATCGGACGAGAACTGGAGCCTGCCTCTTCCATGTTGCCGTACTGCGCTTTCGCCCCGAAACCGCTGAAGAGGACCACCGCCTTGAAGTCGCTGGCGAACGAGATGAGATCGTCCACGTCCTCGGGGATCTTCCGACCCGGGTCAATCCAGACCCGGGTCAGCAGGAAACCAAAAACTGCAATGCAGGAGCAAAAACTGCAACGCAGGCCTTCGCAAATCCGGGTCGGCCAACATGCGCGGCCGCCTCGCGGCCACGATCGGCTCCCTCACCCGGGTCCGCCAGGGGGGGTCTTCGCAGGATCCTGCAGGATCCCGTGCCCTGGCTGACCCCCGTTTGCATCGACCCCCGTCTCTTGCGCCCCGACGTCCTCCAGCTCCTGCAGCCCCGGTGGGCGGTTCGCGACCTGAGAGCTCCCCCCCGATGCTGCCGGGCAGGGGGCGGAGGAGGAGGAGGAGGAGGAGGAGGACGACGAGGGAGGGGCACAAGTCGTGGACAGCGGCGCGTGCGCGGCCCAGGGGGGGGGGCCAGGGGCGTCATGCAAGAAGAAGAGGCGCCATGAGATCTGGGAAACGTCGCAGCTTACGCCATGATATCCGCCCCCCCCCCCCCTGGTCATCGCCGCCCCCCCTCTTGGCCGCCCCCGATCCTCAGAAGCCCAACGGACGCAGTGTTCCAGGGGCTCGGGGAGCGACGGGCGCGAAATGGGCGCCCGAGCTCCTCGATGCACCCGCTGGGCCCTCGGACCCTCCTGGATGCACCAGGATGCACCTGCTAACCCACGTCCACCGCCGTGCAAAATGCTCGGAGCACCTCGGTCGCAGACCTGGGCCCCGGGACTCTGCTATGGCCACACCACGAGGTCCACAATCCCCGGGGATGCAGCGGCTTCTCCTCTGGACGACAGGAACTCCTCCCCAGACTACAAGCGCACCCCTCTCTCCAGACACGCCCGCACGAGCACTCCCGACCGGGTGCAGCTCGCGTGCCTGTGGGAAGCGAAGAGGTACCGATGCCACTACTCCCTGGCCCTTTCCCTGGCGAATTCTCACACAGATTTCGCGGCGAATCTAGCCGTGACCACGAGGGACCAGGAACTAGCAGACCGATAACGCTCCCTCATCGGAGCGTGGCGGCAGGAAGCACCAGAACGACTCGACAAAGGCAGAGAGCGGGCCGCTGAAGACTGGGCGCGATGGCGGCTAGGCTCCCGACGCTTCCCACGCCGGTCGCCATCTGGCTGCACTCCTTCAGCTCGCGCTGCTTGCAGAAAAGCTGGTTCACCACCTTAGCGGCCCCAACCCACTGGAGGTCGCTGGAGAGGATTCTTCTTCTCCTCCTCCTCCTCCTCTTCCTCCTCCTCCTCCTCCTTCTCCTCCTCCTCCTCCTCCTCCTCCTTCTCCTCCTCCGCCTGCTTCCCCAGGCGCCGTCTGGGCTCTCACGCGCGCGCGCGCCGCGGGCGCATCCGACGGCCCCAGCCGCGGGCGGCCCGCGGCCATTGCGGGTGCCGGTGCATCCTGGCGACGGCAGGCCCCCTGCTCCGCCGCTAGCTCTCGCCAGCCTGGCAGGTCCTCCGCCCGCCAGGTCCTCCGCGAGACGGAGCGGTGAGCCCTAGCAATCTGCGATGGATGGGCGATTGGGGGTCGAGGCCACCTCCCCTGAGCCTGATCATGCCCTCCGCTAGCTCTGCCCCGGAACCGCCCGCAGCCCGCAGAACTCTGGCTGGCCACCACGGCGAGGCCAGTGGCGGAGGGCGCCGCGGCCCGCGGTGCCCCGTGGCGAGCAGCGCCGTCCCGTGGCCGGCGGTGGTGCCACAGGGGCGCGCGTGCCCACGCGGGCGCGCGGGCTCGCCAGCAACTTCGCGACCCGCGAGGCCTGCTGGGCCTGCGGCAGGGGCCGCCAGGGCAGGCGCCAGCCTGCCAGGCCGCGCTCGGCAGGCCGGCCCCGCTCTGCAGGTGCTGGTCGTGCTCGTGCTGCTCGGGGCGGCGCTGGCGAGGGCGACGCGACCATGGAGGGGGCCAACAGCGTGGAGTCCAACACCGTCGCGAAGTGCAGGAAGGCCCTCAAGGCGCTGCGGAGCATCTGCGATGCCAAGGAGCAGCTCGCGTTGGCGGCCACGGCGGAGCTCGCCCGAGCCGAGGCAGCAGAGCGCGCCACCGTGCCGCCCGCGGACGTGCTGCGCTCGGCCCAGGATCGCAGGACCACTCGCGAGGCAGCGCGCTCCAAGCTCCAGACCGAGGTGGACAAGCTCACCGAGCAACTCCAGCCGGCCACGGAGAAGCTCAACGTCGCCAAGCAGCAGCTGGCGGGGTCCAACGCGGAGGTGGCTCAGGCGAAGCCTGCCAACACTGCCCCCCCCTATCGGCGGCGACGCTGCGACCCTGGCGGTCGCCCTCCAGCAGACCCCCTGGGGCGCTCACAACTCCACCAGTCAGGGCCGGGATCGCAATGTTGTTGGAGGCGCCGTCCTCGAGCAGCTGGCGGGTCACGTCCGGGCGCTGGGCGCAGCCATTGCCTTCGGACGGCTCTCCAGGCTCCCAGAAAGCATCCAAGAGACCTCAAAGACCGAGGAACTTAGACAAAAAAGAAATTCCAACAGCCAACTCGCCTCGCAGCAGGTGCTTTTCATGCCGCGGGCGGGCGGCCCGCTGGCGCCAGCGCCTCACCGGTCGCAGATGGAGCCTCGACGGTTGCAGCCAGCCAGGTCGCACCAGGTGTCGGCCCAGTCCCAGGAGAAGATGCCGAGCAGTGGGAGTACGCGGGGGACGCGTAGAAGGTTGAGGCAACGAGCTGGACGTTCCACCATGGGCCAGCCACTCGCCTTCAATGGGTTTTTTCTGGAACTCGCGCAAGAAGTGTTTGGAGAAGGGACTGCGGATGCGCTGGCGGTCGCAGCGCCAGAACTAGGATTGGATGGAGAAGACCTGAAACAGGCCCGCTCGTGCGTGACACAAAACGGGTGGCAGCCATTCATCAGCCCATGTCGCAGACTAGCATCCAAGTTGCCAAGCGCGGGTGTGGGGATCTGTATCAAGGCGCATGTGCCCACGACCTTTCTCAGTGGACCTGGGGGCGTCGATGGCGGTTTTGAGATCATGCGCTCACGCGCGGTCGCAGTAAGCGTACACGCTGGAACCAAAGGAATATTCATAGTCGGCTCAGCCTACCTTGAGTCGGTGCCACAGGTGGATTACCTCACAATCAACCATCAGGAGCTCATGCGCATCGCCGAGTGCACGCGATATTCCGCAGCTCCCTTCCTGCTCGCAGGCGACTGGAATGCAGAGCCCGCTCTCTTGGACGAGCTTGGCTTTCTGCAGGCAATGCCCGCAGCGGCGGTGGCACCAACATCCTGGAGCGAATCTGGGTCACCAACCACGTGCACATACAGGACCATTCGCTACTGGTTGACCTCGCCTGATTTCATCAAGGCATGTGGCGTCCCACGCGCGATTGCCAGTTGGACCCCGAGGCCCCACTACCCTGTGAGACTGGACGTGGCAGCGAAGCCGAAAGCGACCACGCAGATCGACTTGAGAGTGCCCAAGCAGTTCCCGAAGCAGGCTCCCAGCTACCTGGTGCCAGTCGTCTTCCTGGTCCTCCTAAGCTGTAGCCAAATTTGAATGTGGTGCAACATGATGCTGCCCACGGTTTCCCTGAGGATGAAGCCCAGGCTCAGTCACGGCTGGGCGACTTGCACGCTAACTTTGCCAACTTCGCGAAGCAAGAGCTCTGCAACATCGGAAAGGTCGATGGGGCCTGGTAAACGCTGTGGAAGGTCGAGCAAGTCGGCCTACGTCCGGCGACCCGTCGGTGGCCTCTTAGTCAGAGGCAATCCCGCTGCATGCTCGGAGGCGAGGTGACATTCGCAACGTGGCGACTGCGCTCCTGGACCCGGCCAGGGAGGCGGAGAGGGGCAGTGTACTAAACAATAGATGGACACGAATCACCCGTGCTCTTCGCCCTGGGCATCGACAAGATCTACTTTCACCTGAGAGCATCGTGCTGTATGAGTGGGCCTGACCCGTGTTGCATTGTGCGTGTGGACTAGGCAACCCTCTAAACATTGTGGTCATCCAGGCTCTCGGTGAAAAGCATGAGGCGCACGCGCACCACCTTGAGAACATAGCTGCGGGCACTAGGAGGAAGAGCCTTCACAAGTGGGCGCCAGACGCCCTCATCGCAGGAGCGGCCTCTGTCGATTGGCATGACGAAATTGACGGGATGGGCGCACAGTGAGGTTGACAGACTCGGCATCCGCACGGCCTCGCCGCAGGCCGTCGCCGACAGCCAGATGGACTTCTGGAGGGATGCATGGAAGGGAGAAGGTCTGAGGGGTCGCGGACGAGGAGATGCTCTGCACCAGCGTGGCGGCTCAGCGCAATGGCGAGGACCACGCTGACGACGAGCTTGAGGTTGACCGCGTTGCCGACGGCAAGGACGACATTGACGCGCTCGGCCGCGCCCTGCCTCCTGCTGCGCTGCCCGTGCCTACGAACGCCCATGTCCGTGGTGCACCGAAGCCCTTTGCATGGAAGACGGGCCTGGTGGTGGATGCGATGGCGCCGAGAGCAGATCCCCCTCCCCGTGGATGATGCCATCGCCATTATTGTGTACTGCAGGTCCGTGCCGTGACGACCCCGGCGTTGGTTCCTGACACCGCGCTGGATCGTTCAACCTTGAACGATCGGCCGTCTCCGCAACGTCCGATCGTTCAACATCGACCGATTCTGGGCCGCCGTCGGCGTTCAACGTTGAACGTCGGCGGCGGGGTCGCCGCCGGTCGACACGACGCGAACCTACCGTACCTCCTCTGGGCGTCCGAGGCAATAGGGGGGCGCTGGCCCACCAGCATCGTGATGACCCGCGCGAGGATCCCCGCGAAGCCGCGGGGCGGCTGCAGGGCCACCGCCCTGCTTCCTTCCGTCTACGAGATCTACAACAATCGCAGGCCTAGAGATTGACACCAACACCAAGATCGGCGGCGTGCCTCCACCGAGGGAAGAAGATCCCGATCTCGGTGCTGGTGGTAATATTCTGGCTTCCAAGGTGGCCGAAATATTGCCACCAACACCGAAATCGAGGATCATCTTCCCCCTGTGGAGGCAACCCCCTGTCTTGGTGTTGGTGCCAATTTCCAGGCCTCCGAAACAAGGTCAGAAGCGCGCACGTCCGGAGGTGGGCGGCGGCGAACCAACGCCCACTGTCTCGCCCCGGGAGCGGGGAAGTCCACCTTCGACGCGGGGGCTCGCACGATGGTCTGCGCGGAGGCCGCGCGTGCGGGCGACCAGGACGCCATCATCACCGCGCCGGCGGACATCAGCAGGTGGTTTGACAGAGCGAAGTGGGCGAATCTTGTCTTCGCAACCGAGCAGCTTCGCTTTCCCCTGGGTATCCTTCCGAACGCTCTGGCAATGTACGCGGCACCGCGCCACGTCCGATGAGGCACGCCTACCCGTGTGCTGTGAAGGTCAGACAGGGAGATCTTCCTGGCTGTTATTACACACATCTCACACACCTTGGATTTGTTTTTTTATGCTGGCGACTTGACCAGACAAATTGTGAAGAAGGCGAATGAGATTGGCCCAATCGGCTATTGGGCGCCTTGCGGATACCTTGCAGGCGCTGGAGCGTCCAACTGCCGGAGACAAGGCGAAGACCATTTGCTCCACGGAGGCTACCGCAAGCAAGTTCGAGAAGGCCCTCTCCAGGCTCGGCTTCTAGGCGGTCAGAAAGCTGAGCATCTTAGGCCTGGAGTGCTGCGCGGGAGCGCGGCCCACCTGTACGGAGATCCACAAGAGGGTCAGGAAGATAGAGGACAGGACCCCTCGCCTCAGGAAGCTCAGGGGCATGGCCAAGCGGGCCAAGCGGATCGCGCGTCCATGCCTGGCCCCAGGTGTGCCCTGCGGACTCCACGCTGTGGGGGCTCCACCGCCCACGATCGCCACTGTGATGAACCTGGTTCACACAGGATGGAGTAAGACCCCGACGGCATGGTCCACGCGGCTAACTTGGTGGTGCGCGAAAGGGGGTGGAGGGAGGGGGGAAGGCTTCTTAGAAGGAGGCTGCTTCTTAGAAGGCGCCGGCCTTACATCTATAGATAAGGCCCGCGCCTTCTAAGAAGCAGGGGTGCTTCTAAGAAGCCCTCCCCCCTCCCCCCACACCCTTCTGCGCGTGGCTGGCTAACCTGTATCCTGGAGGCTACGCCCCACCAACTCCCAGACGTGATGGCCTCGGTGGAGCCGCTCCTCACGGGGGCACAGCCAGTGCTCGACAAGAAGGTCCCC